TGTGCTCTGATCAGACATGTCCCTCTCCCCTAGCTGCAGCTTCAGTGTCATCTTCTAAAGTAAATTTTTCTGGTGGGGCCTTGGTCTATTTTTTGGTGTTCCCTGGGGACTTCATTGCTCTGTTCCCCTTGCTGCTCTGTTGCACACCCCCAGCATCTCACCTCTGTGTGGTGGGGTCAGGGTGGGCACAATTCCCGATGTGTGTCTCTAGTGTTGTCCCCCGTGGTGCTATGGGTCAGTGAGGAACATCGTGTCTTGTGGTAAGGCTGGCCCTATGGTCCTCTGTGTGCATTGGCTACTCTGAGCAGAAATATTGTCCTCAGGACTTGGTGGGCCAGGATGTGCTTCACTCTTTTTTTCCTACCCCCTCGTTTGCTCCGGTGTGCTCTGCTCAGACAGTACCTCTCCTTGAGCTGTAGGTTCAGTGCTGTCCTCTGAAATTAATTCTTTTGGAGGGAGGGGCATCCAAGACTTTTAATCAGAATAATCTCTTATTCCTTATGTCATTTCACTGTTGATTACACAGGGAAATGGAACAGGAAAAAGTGGTCTGTGAAAAAGGAATAATCTAAAATCTAAGTCTTGCTATTCACCTCTTGATTTCACATACTGCTTCCCAAACCTGCTCGGTTGGAAATGCCTCGGTTGGAAATGCCAAGCACCATCAGCTAATACATGTAAAAGTTGACAGGACTCATTTTTAGAAATCAAAGAAAAGGAATAAAATTTAATTGCAAACTAGATGACTCTTTTTCCAGCTAATTCAGAATCAACTTGGACATAGTTCCCCTTGCATTGACACTTTAGCACTGTTATTAGGTGTTGCTGACTCATCGCGACTCCAAGTGGCAGAGAACTGCCCGGTGGGGTTGTCCCAGATCTACCTCCCTCAGAGCAATTGGGTAGGATGGAACCACCGACCTGTGGTTTGCAGCTGAGCACTTATCCATGTGCACCACCTGCTCTGCTTCTTTAACCTCTGTTACAGGTATATCATTTCCTCCGACATATTTAAAAGACTTTTCCCACCATGTAATGACTTCAGAAACACACCGGCTAGGGGGCAAATCAGTAAAAACTTTTAAAATGTTGATATTATAATACAGGATTTTTGCAAGAAGAGCATGTATAAATCCAAGATTGTAAGATTATTCATTCAAAGGGCTATAATGTTTTACTGGCACTCAGCTCTCAGTTAAAGGAACCCAGCTTAAGTTAAGATAAAAAGGGTCTTCATCTTTTAAAGATAACTGATGTACGTTTGGTTGAAATTATATGTCTGAGATTTTCTTGAAATATAATTTAGGGAAAAATAGTAATAGTAGGTATGGGTAGAGGAAAAGCAAAATTGTAAATGGGTTGGTAATTATCAGATGTTAAAGATGTAATGTTCTGACCCACTTCATGGAATTACATGAATAGCACACATATTGACCATAGCGTCTAGTACATAAAAAGAATTTAGAGGGTGGGAAGTGGGGGAGGGAGGGGGAAAAGATGAGTTGATACCAAGGGCTCAAATAGAAAGTAAATGTTTAGAAAATGATGATGGCAACATATGTACAAATATGCTTGATAAAATTAGTGTATAGAATGTTATAAGAGCAGTAAGCCCCCAATAAAGTGATTAAGAAAAAAATTTAAAGTACTATTCTTTGTTAAGCTTTTGATGATAAAAAGCTTAAATATCTCAATTATCTGACCATTATAAAGAAATAAAAATAAATAAATATGTGCTTTAATAACAGAAGAAATTTAACTTGGGGGAGATTGTAGAAATAATATGTAAATCACAGATCATATACAGTAAGTTACTTATGATAAGATGCTTAAGTCAATTGAATACTACCACATATAATGTATATATAAAATGAGACAAAATGTCTGCAAGGTCACAGAGGGCAAGATCAGAAGCAGCCAAGTCCCGTACTTTCTCTGTAGTGCTTGTCATCGTATTTGCGGACCATGCTCGTTACTCCATCCCTCCAGTCAATTTCAACTCACAGTGACCTTTTATAGGGCTTCCGAGATTGTCAGTCTTTTGGAGCAGGTAGCTTCAACTTTTTCTCCTAGTGCAGCTGGTGAATTTGAAACATGGGCATTGAGGTTAGCAGTCTGGTGCTTACTGACAGCACCATCAGGGCTCCTTGGATAATGGTCATTAATTAGGACTTACACTGATTACCTATTTATGTAAAGGTCATAGGTGGGAAGAACCAAACCAGTAAATAATCTCAGTCTAGTTTCTTTTCCCAGATTCTCTATCATTTTGCTTTAAGTCAGGTAAACTGAATAATCTATATAACGAAGATGATGTGTTTTGGGGGCACTAAAATAGTTTTGCATAAAAAAGAATGCTGATGTGTACAAGTGAAATACATTTTTATAAAGCTAGTAAGTGCTAAATTAAAATGGGCATTAATGATAATGTCATGTTGTTGTTGTTAGTTGTTGCTAGGTGCCATCAAGTTCATGCCAACCCGTAGCAATCCTATGCACGATGGAACGAAACACTGCCCAGTCCTGCGCTAGCCTCACGGTTGCCCCTCTGCTTGAGCTCATTGTTGCAGCCTCTCTGTCAGTCCATCTTATTGAGGGCCTTGCTCGTTTTCACTGCCCCTCCACTTTTCCAAGCATGATGTCCTTCTCCAGGGCCTGGTCTCTCCTAACAGCATGTCCAAAGGATAGTGACAAAGTCTCACCATCTTTGCCTCTAAGGAACACTCTGGCCATACTTCTTCCAAGACAGATTTGTTTGTCCTGTTAGCAGTCCATGATACTTTCAGTATTCTCTAGCACCAAAATTCAAATGCATCAATGCTTCAGTCTTCCTTATTCAATGTCCAACTTTCACATGCTTATGAGGCAATTGAAAATGCCATGGCTTGAGTCAGGTGCACCTTAGTCCTCAAAGTAACATCTTTGTTTTGCAACACTCTAAAGAAGTCTTGTCCAGTAGGTTTACCTAATGCATCATATCTTGATCTCTTGACTGCTGCTTCTGTGAGCATTGATTGTGGATCCAAGTAAGACAAAATTCTTGACAGTTTCAATATTTTCTCCATTTATCCTGAGTTACTCATTGGTTCAATTGTGAGGATTTTGATCATGTTAGCATTGAGTCGTAATCCACACTGAAGACTGTGATCCTGGATCTTCATCAGCAAGTGCCTTAGTCCTCTTCACGTTCAGCAAGCAAGGCTGTGTCATCTGCATATCCCAGCTTGTTAATAAGCCTCCCTCCAATCCTGATGCCTCCTTCTTCTTCATATTATCTAGTTTATCTAGATTTGTTTAGCATGCAGATTGAATAAATATGGTGAAAGGATACAACCCTGTCACACACCTTTCTTGACTTTGCGCAGTTTTCCCGTGTTCCGTTTGTACAACTCCCTCTGGATCCGTGTACAAGTTCCACATGAGGACATGAAGTGTTGTGAAATTCCCATTCTTCTCAAGAGTATCCATAGTTTGTGATGATCTACACAGTTGAATGCCTTGGTATAGTGAATAAATCAGAAGCAAGCGTTTTTCTGGTAGTCTCTGCTTTCAGTCAAGATCCATCTGACATCAGCAATAATATCCTTTGTTCCAAGTCTTCTGAATCTGGCCAGACCCTCTGGCAGCTCCCTGTCAATATACTGGTGTAACCATTGTTCAATGCATAAAACTTTAAGCTCCATAAAACTTTACTTGCATGTGATGTCAATGATATTGTTCTATAATTCTGTTAGAATTACAATAGATCTCGTCAGTCAGCTGGCCAAGTAACTATCTTCAAATTTTCCTGGCATGGATGAGTAAGTGCTTCCAGTGCTTCATCAGCTTGTTGAAACTTTCAATTGGTATTCCATTAACTCTTGGAGCCTTGTTTTTGGCTCATGCTCTCAATGACTGTACCGAAGATGCTTTCCATCGTCTTTTGATGCTTCCTACAGATTCAGTATTTTGCCCAAAGAATCTTTCAGTATTGCAACTCGGGGCTTGAATTTTTTTCTTTAGTTCTTTCAATTTATGATATGCTGAGTGTATTCTTCCCCTTTGATTTTCTAACTCTAGGTCTTTGCACATTTTATTATAATAATTTACTTTGTCTTCGTTAGCTGCCCTTTGAAATGTTCTTTTCAGCTCTTTGATTTCATCATTCTTTTTCATTTGTCTTAGCTACTCTAAAGTTCAGAGCAAGTTTCAGAACCTTTTCTGGCATCCACTTTCATCTTTGGTAATGGCATAAAGATAATTTATAATATTTTAGAGTCTCTGAAGTCTGCACTGCCCAGTACAATAGCTATTAGCCACATGTAGCTATATAAATTTAATTTTTGATGAATTAAAGTTGAAACATTTACCATATATACTTGTATATAAGCCGAGGTTTTTCAGTACATTTTTAATGCAGTTTTTGTGGTAAAATTAGGTGGGTCAGCTTATACTCGAGCATATACGGTAATTCCTCAGTCACACTAGCCTTATTACAAGTTCCCACTAGCCACAGGTTGGCTGTCATATGACAAATTATAGACCATTCGTATCATCACTTCTTTTATCTTCTATCTAAAATATAATGAGAAAGCTAGGATCCCAGAGGAAATATAAGTACACTCTGATTTTCCTACCTCTGTAAAATAGCAGGTCCAGCAAAAGTTCAGTAAGCATACAGTGTGTCCGCTAGATAGTTACTTTACTGTCTTTATGATAATTGAAACAGTGTCCTTGGGTTTTGTTTTAATTATAACTTTTTAACAGTTTTGTTGACATATAAGTCACATCTCGTACAATTCAGTAATTCAATCATATTTTTAAAAGTTATACAATCATCACCACAATTGATTTTAGTGTTTTAATTTTAATCTTAGCAGCTTGGTAGTAAATTTACTGTTTGATACATCACTACAATAAGCATTCAACTTATTTTCAGAAAGAAAATATGAACGGGACTCTTTTTTAACATGTATGCTTAATAATGTATGTATTTTCTGATTCTCCTCACCTGGCCCCAGGTGGAAGAGTCAGCAATGATGGGAGTTAGCGGCTATGTGGAATACCTCCGAGAGCAGGAAGTATCTGAGCGATGGTTCCGGTACAACCCCCGGCTTACCTGCATCTACTGCGCCAAATCCTTCAATCAGAAGGGAAGCCTGGACAGACACATGCGCCTGCACATGGGGATCACACCTTTCGTCTGCCGCATGTGTGGCAAGAAATATACACGGAAAGATCAGCTAGAGTATCATATCCGCAAGCACACAGGAAACAAACCCTTTCATTGTCATGTCTGTGGCAAAAGTTTTCCCTTCCAGGCCATCTTGAATCAGCACTTTCGCAAAAACCACCCTGGCTGTATACCCCTGGAGGGGCCTCACAGCATCTCCCCTGAAACAACTGTCACATCTCGAGGGCAAGTTGAGGAAGAATCACCTTCACAGGAAGAGACAGTTGCCCCTGGGGAAATAGCCCAAGGCTCTGTGTCTACCACTGGGCCAGATTGAAACATCAAGGGGGAGGGGGCAGGCCCTCTTCCCCTTTGGGCTGTAAGCAGCCAGCACCAGGGCCAAGGGCTGGTACTTAGATTCACAAAATGCCACATCACCAGACTGGAAGAAGCTTCCAAGATGTTGCCAAACTTAGAGGATCAGCAACATACACAAAAGCATTAAAAGGCTCTTCCTCCTTCCCACCTCACTTTGGAAAAAAAAAAAAATCAAGCAAATCAACTTTCTAATTCAGGGATCAACAGCCTTGGTTTGTTAACTTTATAAGAAAAAAAAATTTTTTTAGCAAAACAATGATAAAATGGTTATTTATCTGCCAGTCATGTTTGAACTCTGTACTTTGGTCCATATCATCTTGATGGCTGTAATTGCCCAGATTTTAAAAAATGGAGCAGGAGCCTTGGTCATCTGAACTAGCCAGCCATAGGGGAGGAAGAAGTAGTCATGATGGTGAAAATGAGGAGGAATTTCTCCTTGTCCTTCCCTGCAAACATGCGGTTTCCTATTTCAAGAAAGAAATTACTAATTCTGGTGATTCTTATTGTTTTGAAATGTTAGACCTTGCCTTTGCTCTGACTAGGCAAATGATGCTTTCCCTGGTTTGTTCAGTGTGTGCAGCCACCTTGGAGCAATGGTCTAGTAGGCAGCATCTCCCGAGGCCCTGTAGGCTGCTCTTGATGTAAAGCAAGCAGGAGCATGCAGTAGGTACTGCTGTATTGGGGGCTTGAGTGCTGTGTTGAGGACGAAGGGAGCGGGGAAGGAAGTGTTTTTATGCTTTGCAAATGTTGAACAGCATAGGGCCATACTGCAACTTCCTGCCTGGGAGTTGACAACCACAGTGCTCAGACATCGAGTGTTAGGAAATGGCTCTAGTCCAGATGAAGTAATGTGTTAGGCTTACTACCAAAGTTTCATCCCATGTCTTCAGCTCCTGGTTTTCACTTAACAGCAATATTGTCCATCAAAAATGTCATTTCCCATACACTGAGCCTGGATTGTATTTCTAAATCTACAGGTCTCCGTATTTGATAACTTTTATATGAAGTTTTAAACTTAAACACCTTTTTTCCTGCAATATTGTGGTTGCAGAACTGCAACAATATGGTTATTATTGCAACCACAATTCCATTTCCTCCTACATATGCTATAATTTATATTTTCAGTTCAGTAGAAGAACCTTGCTGAATCCGTGTCTCGGATCTACAAACCTAGTGATTGATAAGCCAACCATGAATAAGTTACTGGTGACTCCCAGAGTGCTTTTTAACAGCACACTACGGGGCATTTACCAGAATCTATCATGCACAATCATGTTGCAATAAATGACCAAGGGATCAGGTTTGGTTACTTAACTCATTCCTAAGATTTTTTAAATTTCAAGGGATCTTTTTTGGTAATTCTAGGTACTTCTGAGATTCGTGCTCCAGCACTGAGAGTCCGAAAGAACCAAACATGTAGCACTTCGGATGTATTGACTTGCATGCAGAGGAGGAGGAGGAATAGTAAGGTTTGCAGGCAAGTCGACGCTTAACAAGTTAACAGTGCATATAGAAAGGGGAGGGGACGGGGATCTCTCACTTCTTCAATGGTTGAAAATTTTTTTTTTTTAATCTTTAAACATGTAGTGGTTTCAGAAATTGTTTTGATGTAGATGATTGTCAAAGAGATTTGGGAGAGGGGCTGGTCAAACCTACCACGTGAGCCATTTGTGAGGTTTCCAGTGCCGTACTCTCTGGCTGAGAATGCTCTGTGGTAGGTGGAGAGAGAGTGGGGAAGGAATGGTGTTTCTTTGATGGTGTATTAGAATGCAAAGGTAGCTAAAAGCCCACCCTTGAAAGTAGGCTGGGGCTGCATTTTGCCTTTTAAGAGACATAGTCATCCTCTTTCACTGGGCAATAGCACACTATAGAGTAAAAATGCCTTCAGGAGCCATCCTAGGGGCCACCTATGATCTGTGGCATTGGGGAAAAAAAAGATTGAATTAAAATTAGGTGAAAGTCCTTAGGCAACATGTCAGCTGGTTTCCAAGGCACTCAGTGGTCAGCTTTTGCCAGTATTGACAAGGCAAGGAGGTGAGAAATAATAGATATGCTGCTTTGGATGGAGCATTTAAGCCTACCAAAAATATTTAAATCCATCCTACTTTGGAGAAATATGCTGAAAAGTTCTTTATTCGTTGTTAGTTTCTTAGAAGATTGTCGTGAGAAGACAGAGCTTTTAAAACTTTTACCAAATTGTCAAAGTGAAGTACAGTCATGTCTGGGAAGAGGCACTTTGCAGCATTCCTCAATCCTCCATCCAGGTGTAGCGACCAATGGTTTAGATGAAGTTAGGACTGTTGATTCATGTGGAATTGCTATGAGTGTTGGGTGCCCCGTCCCTCTTCCTTCCCTGCAAATAGGTTTTTACTGTATTGATACTGTGAATAGAATGCCTCCCAGTCATGTAGGATCGTGTCAGCCTAGCCATGCCCTCTGGTCTCTTTGTGGAAGTTGACCTCGCCAGAGCGGTGAAGGTCATGAAAACTCAAGCCAGGTTAGGCTAGCTTTTAAACAAATGAAAGTTTCTCAAAGTAATGTCCCTGTTTTGCTTAGAAAAGAGATTATTATTCTAAGTAACTATCCAAGATTTTTATCCAGATTCACTGTGACATTGCCCTAATTCTTAGCTAACATCACTGTAGTATAATAGGAGTTAATAGTTAATCTACTTAAGTGAATATTGGTGTGTACACAGAGGATACCTCTCTCAAGGATGGACTTATGCTGATGCTGAAAACTCATTACCAAATCGTAATAACTTGCACAGGTCACCTTGTGAAGGAGACAACACTCAAGAAGAGAGCTAAATTATCATTACATACTTTAATGCCATGGAATTGCAAGCACTGGGCCTGTTCTCCTTGTTTAAGTGGCACTTAATAGCAAAGGAGTTAACCAATATTAGCAGCAGAAAAGAGAAATTATGCTAAATGTTACTCTTTTCATTCCGAGGTGTACCTTTGCTTCTCTCTGTACTCTTCGTATTACTGATATGAAATACATGAGCAGTAACACTGTACTTAGGCAGAGAGGCTCTTTCTAATGCCTTGTGCTTGCTTTAATCAGAACCACATTTACCTCTGAACTTCGTTGAGTTTTACTTTGTCGTTGTAAAACTGCTTCAAGCCATTCTATATTATATCCAAGTGTTCAACCTGGTTTTGAATAAGTGAAAACAAAGTAGTTGCTGGAGGATAGAGTTGGAAAAGATGTCAGTTAATTTTGGCTTTGTGTTTATTTCTTGTTTTTCTTTTTCTTTTTATGTTTCCAGTACCCATAACATCAGTGAAACAGGGTTGTCCAAAGATGATTTGACAATAGAAATAAACTGTTTTCTCCCTGTCTTAATAGATGGAGTCTAGCCTTGGTTAGAACTGCTCTGATGGAAAGATGAACTAGTGAACTCCATCCTTAATAGCTGAATAATCTTTGGTAAAGAAATAATGTTTCAAAAGTCTTAGCTATTACTTGATATTGTGTATCTTTCAACTGGTAAAAGCTACATTTGAAAATTAGAAGATACAATTTTTTAAATATAAGTAATGAATAGTGGGAAAGAAATTAACTTGAATAATGATAAGTTTTTTATATGATAAAAATATTTTTAATCACAGTGAAAAAGCTCTTAGTAAGAAAGGAGTTGAAGTAACTCCTGAACACTTTTCATTCTTATGACACAACAGGTGTCATTTTTTCCCCTCTCCTCCTCAAGTCGCTTTCCCTTTGTTTGGGTCCTTATTTGTTCAAAGAATGGTAGATGAGTTAAACTCAGTTGAAAATGGGGCTTTTTACCAAATGCCATTTGGGGGAAAGTGCAAAATATTCACATATTCTGGTTGTTGAGATTTAGAAAAGGGACAAAGAGCTAAGTGGGCTAAATCCCTCTCTCTGGGAAGATTCTGCTTAGCAAAGTCTATTCCTAAGACTTGAGAGTTAGATCAGGGTTTGGTGCACTTTAGCCCCTGGGCCCAATCCTGAGGCCAGCCTGTTTGTGAAATAAAATTATATGTGAATGGGACCACTCACTTCCTTTAGGTACTGTTTCTGGCTCCCTTTCTTTATAACGTGAGGGTTGAATACTTGTGATAGAGACCTCATAGCCTGTAATTTCTAAATATTTGCTGCCTGGCACTTTACAGAGAAAGTGTGCCAACCCTTGAAATAGAGTTAAAAGAATTACCCTCCTCCTGCCCCCCTCCTCCAGCCCCAGATTTATCACACCTGCCATATGTCTTGATAATATTTTGGTTGACAGTTTTAATTCACACTGCCATATATGCATCAGTCCCTTGAAGTAGTTTGCTCTTTTTCTTTTTATTGCTCTTTTTCTTTTCTTTCTTTCTTTTTCTAGGCAGAGAAGCAAAACTTAGCAGAGGATATGATTGTATACATAGAAAATCCCTGACTTGGAAAGAAAATTGTTGGAACTAATTGTTACAATTCAACAAAGTGACAGGGTCAACACAGGAGAATCAGTTGGATCCCTTCCTACCACACAGAGTGGTGGCAGCAACAGGGTTCCTCAATTGCTGAGACATCTGGAGAAACTTTACTAAGTTGGGAACCCTTAGTCCCAAACCAAAGATGTCATCATCTGATGAAGGCCCAGAATCCTCAGGGCCAGAATCTTTGGAAAGGTTGGTTGAAGGTTCCTCTTAAGATACCTGTTCCACTCTTGTGCTCTGTGTCTTCGGTACGAATAGATTTGGGCATGGTGTTGGTCCTGAATATGAGCCCCTTAAGCAGGAAGAAGTAGCTAGCATCACTGAACTGGTGGCTTACTGACAGGCAGGCCTGCTGCTAATTGGCTCTGTGACCTCAGAGAAGCTGGATCATTTCTGCGATGCTGTATTTTCTCCTAGGTAAAACTAGGGGAGTTTGACTAAATCATTAACTTGTGTACTTTAAAACAATAGAACCTTTGCTTTGTTTTAAAGGAGCTTCATGAAACCTTTAGAACAGAGAAGGTGTTGTGGATCATTAGTCTCATGTTTATGTTTGATTTCTAATTTCCCTATATTCTAATTTCACATATTTTTTCCCTTGAATATGAAATTGTTAGTATTCTTTCACGTCAACTCCAACTGCTTCTGGGTTCCTTACTTTTTCACACTTTGCATCACTGTAAAGACTTTCCTGGGTTTTGTTACCAGCATGCTAACTGTCGAGTTTATGATCATTTTCAAAATCAAACTCATAATTGATTGAAGAAAACGTAGAACATGACTGGGAAGTATGTTTGTCAGACACAGAAGGCAAAAGACTAAAG